CACATCTTATAAAATTATGCAAAAATGTTTAAGATTAATTTGGCTATAACTTTAAATGAAAATAAATGAAAACTACCCAGATGTGGCTTCTAAATAGTCCGTGTGTTCTCTGTTTTAGCAGTGCCAATATCATTAAGGAATTTATAATAGTATATTCCTTAAATGAAATACTTCATGTTGTAAATCACTAATCTAAAATTCATTATTCTATACTCAGATGCATTTTTGGATTATTTATAACTGATCTCTTCTGAGAAGCTGTTATACATGTTGATGATCTGGGTACCTCAGATAGCATTTTTGTAATGTTCTCTTCTTTTCTCTGCTAATTGTCTTGAAATATTGGTGCATACCTGCTTTCTCAATTTCTTTATGATACTCTTATTACTTGATCTGATTTTGGCTTTTGGTTTTCATCATCCATAACCTTTTGTAATATTTGACCCTGTCTCCATGAGCCTGCTTGATTCGATGATGTGACTGTCATGATTTTCTTATTCTGCTTCACTGGTGTCTCTGTTCCTATTTTCCTGAATCATTGGGATTATCAGAGGCTTCATTTTACTCTTTTCTGCACATTTCCTCTTTGTTCATGGCTTTAGTTTCTTTCTACAACTGGTTTACTTCCTACTGATAACACTTTCAGTTTCTTTTTCTTATGAGTTTTACAGATGAATTGCAAATGCATGCAATCTCCACATAAGACTAACACACTTTTATTATGCCTCTTTTTCTTTTTTCTGTAGCAAAAGATTCCTATTTTCTTCAACAGGATAATTATAGAACTATCTTCCCAGCCAACCAAGTTGGAAACTTCAAAATTGTTTCTTTCCAACCTCAAGACCAAAGATAGTCTTTAAGAAGATTATCCCCTAATTGACTCCCAATTACTCTTAGGTATTTCCACTTTTTCTCTGTTGAACTATTGCAGGAGCCTCCTAAATATTCTATGTGCTACACATCCATCCTCTTCTCAGATTATCCTCCATCCTGTCACCAGCTTATTTACCACAAGATCAGTCTGGTCATATAATCCAACTGTCACCCCCAAAATCATTCCCTAGTACCATTGTTGTTCAGTTACTAAGTCATGTCTGACCCTTTGTGATCCCATGAACTGCTAGCATGCCAGACATCCCTGTCCTTCATTATCTCCCAGAGCTTGTTCAAACTCATGTGCATTGAGTCAGTGATGCCATCCAACCATTTCATCCTCTCTCATCGCCTTCTTATTTTGCCCTCAATCTTTCCCAGCATCAGGGTCTTTTCCAATGAGTCAGTTCTTCATATCAAAGTTTTGGGAGTTTCAGATTCAGCATCAGTTCTTCTAATGAATATTCAGAGTTGATTTCCTTTAGGATTGACTGGTTTGATCTCCTTGCTGTCCATGGGACTCTCAAGAATCTTCTCCAGCAACACAATTCAAAAACAACAGTTCTTTGACATTCAGCATTCTTTATGTTCTAACTCTCACATCCATACAAGACTATGGCTTCAAACCCCTGTTTCTCAGTTATCTTCCTATTATGTTATCCATGTCAAATTTTCCAAATTCCCTATGCTTGCTATTCCTTTTTTCACTGCATTCTCTCAATCTGGATTTCAGCTACCTTCATCATTACCTAGTGACATCTTTTTGTCCTAATCTCTTTTACTAACTCCTATATTTCCTTTATCAAGATTTCTTCAAATCCTATTCTTTCTTCTCCAGTAAATTTCTAAAATCAGACTGACTTAAACTTTCTTTCCTCTGGACTCATGTAAGTTGTTGTTTAAGCTTCTTCTTCTTTTTTTTTTTTTTTTAAATTCTGAATTACACTGCAGTTAACTGCTTGCATGTCTGGCATCAAAATTAGATTATAAACATAATGATATTATTCATTTGTAAGCTTAGCAGAAACTTACTTGCTAAATACAGGAGCCAATAATCATTAAATATTTAAATTAGAGTTTCTAATACTTTTCTTCTTTGTCTGCTTTACATCATCAGGTTTCTCTATTCACTATTATATTATTAGGAAATTCCAATAAGACTTACAGTTACAAAACACACTTGAAACAGTTCTACTACCTCTGTAATAAAATCATTCAGTATTCTAAAAGAGGCCTCTGGAGAGTGTTAGATAGATTTTTCATGAGTCTTCAGTTGGACTGAAAATCGTGTGATTTCAAAGTCAATTGAATGAAAGGGCTGTGGATCCTGCTGACCTATTCCATTTGGATTAACCTATCATCTAGTCAAGAAATGTAGGAAATCATATCAGCTCACAGAAGGAGGGACTGAAAAGTATTAGTTATATTGTCTGTGCCTCAGCTGCATTCTTGTATTCAGGATAGAACTCAGGATAGTCTTCAGAAGGGCATTGGAATGTTTGCCATAAACTGATCCACAGACTGGGCCTCAAAGACCTGACTGAATGAACATGGCTCAGAGGGAAGCTGAGGACACCTGCTATGACTGACAACAAGCTGAAAGCAGTGACACTAGTCTCAAAGCCCATTCTAATAGTTACAAGTGTGAAGATGTCAAATACAGGCCTCTTCTCTAAACACACTCCATTTTGTCTATAATCCTTAAAGGTTGCTTCAATGATCTATTTTCATACAATAAACTGATAATAGGTAATTGAATGTCAATTACCTGTCATTCAAAAATTAGTGCCAAAACAAAGCAACCATTTTTAAAATTTGTTTTTATTTTTTAACTAGAGCATAATTGATTTACAATATTGTGTTAATTTCTGTACAACAACATGAATTAGCTATATGTATAGATATCCCCTTCCTGTTATTCCTCCCTTCCACCTTCCCCAAAGCAAATGCTTTTTCTCTCTCATGATTCTGTGATTTGACAAGAATCACCTGGATACTTATTCTGCTCCATGTGGTATTAACTTGGGACAACAGCCATCAAGAGACTGGACTGGACTGAAGTATCCAACAGGGCTCATTCTTGTGACTGGTAGTTGGTGTTTGGAGGTCATCTGGGTCTATCAGTGAGTGCCTGAGTCTTCTTTACATGGCTTTTTTCATGAAGTGAGGCTTTCTGACATGATTTCCTACATATAGTTGACTAAGATGATGGGCTAATCCAAATGGAGTAAGTCAGCAGAATCCACAAACCTTTCATGTAATTGACTGGCTACAAAGATGAAGTGTTTTGAGAGAGCCAAAACAGAATTTACAGATCTAAGACTCAACTTCGAAGATGCTTGATGTCATTTCTGCTCCATGCTATTGAACAAACCAAGTTACAGCAAGGTTAACACAGACCCAAAGGGACAAGAAATAGATTTCATCTCTTAATGGAAGAAATGACAAAAAATTTACACTCATTGCTAACTCATCACAGGTATATAGTGGTGGACTCTATGCTATCTATAGGTATATTTGACAAAAATAAGTGAAAAAAAAAAAGATTTGAGACTACCATCTAAACACTGCATACCTATGTCAACAAACTTGTTCCTTTTAATATATATATTCTATATTATATAATATATATTATATTATATATAGTTATGTATATTATACATATAGTGTGCTGCTGTCATAAGCACACTATACTTATTTTTATTTTTGAAAGTATGTTGAACCAATAACATCATTTTGGAAAATTATTTGATATGGTTTCTTGGTATAACTATCATTGAGTTGATGTTGCTATCTAGTAAGTGAAAGGAATATATTTCCACTACATGTAATATTTAATACACCTCAAATTTATTAGTTATAACTATAGAAAGCATTTTCTTTTGTTGTTGTTGAGTCACATAGTTGTGTCTAGCTCTTTGCGAACCCATGGACTTCAGCACAGCAGGTTTCCCTGTCCTTCACTATCAGGCTTTGCTCAAACTCATGTCCATTGAGTCAATAATGCCATCCAACCATCTCATCCTCTGTCATCCTCTTCTCCTTCTGCCTTCAATCTTTCCCATCATCAAGGACTTTTCCAATAACTTGAGTCTTTGCATCAGGTGTCAATGTATTGAGGATTCAGCTTCAACCTCAGTTCTTCCAATGAATATTCAGGGTCGATGTCCTTTAGGATTGAGTGGTTGATCTTGCAGTCTAAGAGACTCTCAAGAGTCTTCTCCAACACCACAGTTTGAAAACATCAATCTTTTCTTTTAATACCTGTAAATTTTTTTTTTAGTAGCTGTAAATCTCATACAGTTATTGAAATATAAGTAAGATTTTAGGCTATGCCTAAGAGGATAACCCAAAACAAAAGTAAAATTTACACCTAAAATATTCTAGATGATATCATTTTTTGCATTATTGCCTTGTTATTACTTGGAAAAATCTTGTGTCTAACCTAATAATTGGCTTAAACAGTCATTTTAGAGTTTAAAGCACATACCAATTTGGAAATATTTGTAAAACATTTTTATGGAAAGGAGAAATTTCTCAAAAGTTAGTAAAGATCTTCATATTTCAATCAATAGTTTCACCATAGGGAATTCCTTTAAATAAATTTTGGCATAAGTTTAATTTATCATTCTCATTTATGGATCCTTGAATTAATAAAGAAACTGAAATCATGAGGACAGTTGTCAAGCTGAGAAAAGACTTCTTTAAATTATTTCCCTGCAGGATATGTCTAAGGAGACTTATTCTTACCATGAAACTGTCTGACAAAAAGAAGCAGCTTTCTCCCCTTTCCTTTCAATGTGCTTTCATCACAAGCCATACATAAATGATTCTTATAATTCTAGATTTAAATGAGCATTGGAGCTGTGTTCGTTTCTATAGCACAGTTGGTTATTATTTTTATTAATTTTATTGGGGTGTAGTTGCTTTACAATGTTATATTAGTTTCTGCCATACAGCAAAGTGCATCAGCTATATGTTTACATGAAGTGAAGAAGTGAAGTGAAGTCATTCAGTTATGTCCGACTCTTTGTGACCCCATGGACTATAGCCCAAAAGGCTCCCCGTCCATGGGATTTTCCAGGCAAGAGTACTGGAGTGGGTTGCCATTTCCTTCTCCAGAGGATCTTCCCAACCCAGGGATCGAACCTGGGTCTCCTGCATTGTAGGCAGACACTTTACCAATTGAGCCACAGGGAAGTCATATATGTTTACATATATCCCCCCTTTTTAAATTTCCTTTCCATTTAGGTCACCTTAGTGTATCGATAGAGTTTCCTGTACTATGCAGGGGCAGTAGGTTCTCATTACTTATCTATTTTCTATACAGTAGCAATGGTGCATATATGTAACCTTTGGTTATTCACTTGAGAGAGATGTCACATTTTAAGTTTTTTACTGCTATTTTGGACTTAGTTATTGTTAATGTAATAGGGCATGTGAACTGATAATAAATATCTATTTTCTGAAATAAATAAAAGTAAAACTGAGGTTTTGAAGAAGATATTCTTGGAAAATCTTAGCCTGCATGCATTAGTTCTTAGGTAAAAATGACTATTGTAAACTCAAATGAACGAAAGAATCCTTATAAAATAATGTGAAATTGATTGCAGTTTTGGGCTGCTTTCTTATTTAAAGTCAACCAATTGACAAGAAACAATGGTAGTCTTACAATAAACTACAGTCTTAGATGTCTTTATGGTTTAAAAAAATTCACTTTTCCTTTATATATGTTTTTCTATAGATATATGAATATCTAAATAAACAGATAGCTAATAGATGATAGATAAATGTTGCATAGGCAAATACTGCCCCTTTAAATTGTCTTATCCTTTTTGTATCCTCACCAGTCTTTAGTAACCTAGCTTAATGGTTAATAGCACTTTAGTCTATGTGAGTTATTGTAAATCATTCATGTGAAATACCAAATGTTAAACTATCAGGGCTATTTAGCAGAAAAGATAGGCATTATCCAAAATAGGTAAAACTTAGATTTTATTGTTACTATTATGACTAGCTTTGAGCAATGGAAAAAATGAATTTGATTAGTGTTACAAAAGTACATTCCCTGTGGATTACCTTGGCTTGTTAATATGGCAAAATATCTCAGGCAATTAACTTGAGTTTGGCAGATAATTTATGCCATGCTGTGAAAGAATGTTTTGTGCTATTCATAATAATTTAGTAGATCTTAAATTCTAAGTAGAAAAAAGTTATTCAATGTGTTCAAGTGAAACCTAAAATATTTTAAAGCCTATAACTATAACCACTCCTTTCTCTTACAAAAGAAAGACAATACTTGTCATGTCTTCTGTCTTCAAAAATCAACAGAATTCCCACAGTATCCACATCCCAACTTCTGCCTTCATGGGAAGAATATGTACCTACATTGTTATCCATTCACAGAAGATGAATTTTCTATCCATATTATCTTGGAATCTAGACACTTCATTTGTTAATTCTAAACTCTTCTTGTTGGCCAACACATTTTAATAAATGCTTGGAGAGGCCAAAATTTATTTGTTTACTGCTAGTATGTTTTAGGTTGTTAGATGAACCAAAACAATAAATTGATTTAAACCTACTCTTTGCAACAATGTGAATCAGCTATAGGCTAATAGTGAAGTCACTCAGTTGTGTCCAACTCTTTGTGACCCCATGGAATGTAGATTGCCTCGCTCCTCCATCCATGGGATTTTCCAGGCAAGAATACTGGAATGGGTTGCCATTTCCTTCTGCAGGGATCTTCCTGACCCTGGGATGGAACTCGGGTCTCCTGCATTGCACGTAGACTCTTTCCTGTCTGAGCCACCAGGTATACATATATCCCCTCACCCTGGAGCCTCCCTCCACTCCTACATCCCAGCCTCTAGGTCATCAGAGAGCACTGAGCTGAGCTTTCAAGTTACACAGCAGCATCCCGCTAGCAAACTATTTTGAACATTGTAATGTATATATATCAATAACTTAATTTGTCCCACCCTTTCCTTCTCCAATTCTCTGCCCACAAGTCTGCTGTCTAGGTCTGTGTTTTCATTACTGCTCTGCAAAATAGGTTCATCAATACCACTTTTCTAGATTTCATTGTTGCTGTTGTTTAATCACTGAGTCATGTCCAACTCTGTGCAACCCCATGGACTGCAGCGTGCCAGGCTTCTCCGTCCTCCATGATCTCCCAGAGTTTGCTCAAATTCATGTCCACTGAGTTGGTGATGCAATCCAACCATCTCATCCTCTGCTGTCTCTTTCTCCTCTTGCCCTCAATCTTTCCCAGCACAGTGTCTTTTTCAATGAGTCAACTCTTTGCATCAAATGGCCAACGTATTGGAGCTTCAGCAACAGACATTCCGATGAATATTCAGGATTGATTTTCCTTAGGATTGACTAATTTGATCTCCTTGCAGTCCAAGGGATTCTCAAGAGTCTTCTCCTCACAACAGTTCAAAAGCATCAACTCTTTGGAACTCAACCTTCTTTATAGTCCAACTCTTACATCTGTACATGACTACTGAAAAACTATAGCAGACTTTGTCAGCAAAGTGATGTCTCTCGTTTGTACTATGCTGGCTAGATTTCCCATAGCTTTCCTTCCAAGGAGCAAGCATCTTAATTTCTCATGGTTGAAGGTACCATTTGCAGTGATTTTAGAGCCCAAGAAAATAAAATGTGTCACTGCTTCAATGTTTTTCCCTTCTTTCTGCCATGAAGTGATGGGACTCAATGCCATGATCTTAGTTTTTTGAATGTTGAGTTTAAAGCCAGTTTCTCCACTCTTTTACCCTCATCAAGAAGCTCTTTAGTTCTTCATTCCCTGCCATTAGAGTAATATCATCTGCATATCTGAGGTTGTTGATATTTCTCCTGGCAATCTTGATTCCAGCTTGTGATTCATCGAGTCCAGCACTTCACATGATGTACTCTGCATATAAGTTAAATAAGCAGTGGCAATATACAGCCTTGACATACTCCTTTCCCAATTTGGAACCAGTTAGTTGTTCCATGTAAGGTTCTAACTGTTTCTTCTTGACCCACATATAGGTTTCTCAGGAGATAGGTAAGGTGGTCTGGCACTCTCATCTCTAAGAATTTTTCAACAGTTTGTTGTGATCCACACAATCAATGGCTTTAGCATAGTCATTGAATCAGAAGTAGATGTTTTACTGGAATTCTCTTGTTTTCTCCATGATCCAACAAATGTTGGCAATTTGACCTGTTGTTTCTCTGCCTTTTCTAAATCCATCTTGTATATCTGGAAGTGCTCAAATCACATACTGCTGAAGCCTTGCTTGAAGGATTTTGAACATTATCTTGCTAGCATGTGAAATGAGCATGATTGTGTGGTAGTTTGAGCATTCTTTGGCATTGCCCCTTTTGGGGATTGGAATGAAAACTGCCCTTTTCCAGTCCTATGGCTGCTACTGAGTTTTCTAAATTTGCTGACATATTGAGGGCAGCACTTTAACAGTATCATCTTTTGGATTTTAATAACTCAGCTGATATTCCATCATCTCCACTAGCTTTGCTTGCAGTAATGCTTCCTAAGGCCCCCGTGACTTCACACTCCAGGTTTTCTAGCTCTCGGTAAGTGACCACACCATTGTGGTTATATGGGTCATTAAGATCTTTTTGTATAGTTCTGTGTATTCTTGCCACCTCTTCTTAAATTCTTCTGCTTCTGTTAGGTTCTTACCATTTCTATTCTTTATCTTGCCTCTCTTTGCATGAAATATTCCCTTGATATCTCCATTTCTCTTGAACAGATATCTAGTCTTTCCCATTCTATTGCTTTCTTTTATTTCTTTTCTTTGTTCATTTAAGAAAATCCTTTTTTTTTTTTTTTTGCTATTCTCTGGAACTCTGCATTCAATTGGGCATGTCTTTCCCTTTCTCCCTTGCTATGTGCTTCTCTTCTTTCTTCAGTTATTTGTGAAGCCTCCTCAGACATCCACCTTGCCTTTTTGCATTTCTTTTTCTTTGAGACAGTTTTGGTCACTGCCTTCTTCCCTGATAGTTCAATTGGTAAAGAATCTGCCTGCAATGCAGGAGGCCCCGCTTTGATTCCTGGGCCAGGAAGATCTGCTGGAGAAAGGAGAGGCTACCCATTCTGTATTCTTGGGTTTCCCTAGTGGCTCAGATGGTAAAGAATCCACCTGAAATGCAGGAGACCTGGGTTCAGTCCCTGGGTTGGGAAGATCCCCTGGCGAAGGGAAGTTACCCACTTCAGTATTCTGGCCTGGAGAATTCCATGGACTGTATAGTCCATGGGGTCACAAAGAGTCAGGCACGACTGAGCGACTTTCACTTCACTTCACTTCTTGATATCACACAATATTTAATTTTGTTCCTCAGTAACATCCCATTGTATATATGTACCACATCTTCTTTATCCATTTATCTGTAGATGGACATTTAGATTGCTTCCAAGTTCTGACTATTGTAAATAATGCTGCATTGAACATTGGGTTACATATATCTTTTTGTATTATTGCTTCCTCAGGATGTATGCCCAGTAATGGGATTCCTGAGTCATATTGTTGTTCTATTTTTAGTTTTTTAAGGAACCTCCATACTGGTCCCCATAGTGGCTGTATCAATGTACATTCCCACCAACAGTACAAGAGAGTTCTGTTTTTTCCACACCTTTTCCCAATATGATATTGTAAAGCAATTACACTCAAATTAAAAAAAGAAGAAGAAGAATAAGAAATTAAATTGGTAATAAAGAAAAAGAAGTTAGGTCTAATCCAGTCGCTTCACAGGTGCATTCTATTAAACTTATAAATGAAAAAATAACCAATGCCTTACTAATACTTTCATGAAGTATAGGAGGGGTGAACATTGCTAAACTCATTCTTTGAAGTTAGAGTCACTCTGATAGTAAAGCCAAATAAGGATATAACAGAGGGCCTCCAGGTAGCACTAGTGGCAAAGAACCTGTCTGCCAAAGCAGGAGACATAGGAGAATTGGGCTCAATCGCTGGTTTGGGAAGATCCCCTGGAGAAGGAAATGGCAGCCCATTCCAGCACTCTTGCCTGAAGAACCCCATGGACATTGGAGCCTGGCGGTTTACAGTCCATGGGGTCACAAAGAGTCGGACATGACTGAAGGGACTTAGTACACATGAAAAGATATAACAACAACAACAAAAAAAGAAACTATACAGATCAGTATACTCTATGAACACAGATATAAGGAATCT